GGACGCAAGCAGATTTTGACATTAAATTTTGGGGTAAAAAGTGTGTCTTATACACCAAAAAATATGGTACTTATAGAAGTGTAAGTGTGACATTTAGGTGATTGAACTAAGTTTTATAAACATATGTGTGCATATAAAATAAACTAAATTGCCAAGATAATGTGGCTCTTGTGTAATTTCTTTTACCAACATGATTTTTGTTGTAGTGCCTATTAATACTATTAAGATAACATATGGTAAATAAGGAAGAGTTAGGCCCTTTAAAATTGTTCTTGTACACCCAATCTTGAGAAAATTAAACATTTAAACCCATTCTTTATTTTCAGGAAATCATTGATTCTCTTCTTAAATTGTTGTAAAATTTCTGACTTTACTGCTGTTAAGGTCAACTCATTCAAAAAGCCAATCACCTTTGTAAAAAAAAAATATTTAATTGGAGCTTAATTAGCCTGTCTTTTCCAAATCTTTAACTTCCATTCTCTTGGTTCCTCATCCTATTGTTTTCAGAATATAACATAAGAAAATTGGGTCTTTATCCTGTTGATTCCTCATAAAATCTAGTAAACTTTTAATCAGAAATTATTCCTGACTTTCCACAAACAAAAGCCCCTCTGCCTCCAAAATCATCCTATTATCCTCTCTCTGAAACTTTTTGTGATAAGTCAGTATTCTTTTTTAGATAAAGAAACCAAAATAGTATGATAAGTAATTTATATAGCAAAACTGTTTCTTTTGATTTGTATTCTATATGTCTGTAGATATACATCTTAAAATTCTGTTCTCTTTACTATTAGCAACAAAGCATTATTTTATTGGCTTCATTGACTTATCCTCTGCTATGCCAAGATTCCCATTTATTTTAAATGTGTGATCCAAATTATGATAACCCAAATGCATTACCTTATACTTTCTGTAATTAAAGGTCATTTGACAAATATTTCCATAAACATTTATTGAAACATTGTCATTCATTCATTCCCCAATTATAAAACTGTATTTCTTGGGAAAATGAAATTTGACAAATTTAAAACTCTTGTCTGCTACAGTACATGTGTTTTTATCAAAACTTCCAAAAACAGGATTAAGACACTGAAGAATGAGTGTTCTCTCACTAAGTACTCTTGATTTTATCTTAAAGAAGTGCTTGTAACAGACTGTGTAGAGTAGTTATAATGAACATTTCATGTCATCATGAAAATATTTATTTTGTGGTTAGTTTCTTTTGGGAAGCAGTTAAACACTGAAATGATTTTAATACATGCAGTTGTGTTTTTCTGTGTATATTTTTTTTCTTGTTTTGCATGTAGTTTGTCATCCACTTCTTTAGTTTTACAATATTTTATGTATTACTTTTAAAACTAGTTAAGTACAGAGATACCAGGAAGACTTAACTGTAGAAGACACTGTCTTCTAAGGTATTATGTTTATAAGGTTGATAACTAATAATATGTTTCTTTTACATATTATAAACAACTCAATCATTTGAAATGAACAGAAGTCATGTTAAAAACAAAACAGACTGACACATATAAGGTTTATATTCATCATTAAAACATGTTACAAAGTTTATATTATTATTTACTTTCCTTGTCTGCATGTTTGAGTTTCTTGTATAAATTGTTTGGATTTTTTTACATATGTATTCGTTTCTGCTAAAATATGAAGAATGAAGATGCAAAAATGTGCGGTTTTTCGTACGAAGTTTGTGATTTGATGTTTGTACCTGGTGAATTTTAACATAGTTATGCATCCATCAGAAGTTAATGAAAAGCTCATACAGTTATTAATTTGAAGTTTGAAATAGTTTAAAGATAGAGAGTTTAGTATTGAAGTAGTACCAGTGATGTCATGTTTTATTATCATTTTATATATGAGGTATAACTCCTCAATGGGATAAAAACATACTCCCCATGTTTTAAATATGTGATTTGTTTGTGAAGATTGTCTTTGTTTCTTACTACACATAACACAGTGTTTCAAGATGAATTAATGTCAGATGAAGAGACTTGTAGAACTTGTAACAGTTTTATTATAAGATGTGAATGTTAACAAAATAACATACTGTTTTTGAAAGATGCAAGTTTTAATTCCTTAACTGTTTCTCTGTAGTCTAACTACAAGCTTTGATAAGAATGTAAAGGTGAAGCTCTGATGGAACCATAGAAGTATTAAAGATGAAGGAAGAGGAGCAATGTGCTTTATTTGATAACATGTTGGTTAAGAATGAAGATGAAACTTTAAAATTAACTAGTAGTAAATGTATATCTTTAGAATTTAATTGTTTTTTTTTCTTACCAGTACAATTAGTGTGAAAGCTACTTGACTTACTTTAACAGTGTGGCTGAATTTTCCATTATGGATTGAAAATTTCATATTCCAATATGACAGCTTACATTTTCACATAGAATAGGTTCAGTCCTAACATATCTGCCTATGAGACTTGCATGCCACTAGCCTTGAGCTAACTTCCACCTAAAAATCACACTTAACAAGGTCTGTGCTAGTACATGATGATATCATAATGCAACAATAGTCATCCACCAATAGGAGGAGACACAAATCTCCTTGTGCAGTAACTCCCCTTAAGCATTTGCACTCAAAATAACTTCATTCATTTCCTTGGTACTGTCTAGAATGGACGTGTTTTTAAACGTATTAATCAATTACGTGAGATATGTGATAGTTTCTAAAACTTATATTTTATTTAAGTTTTGATGGTTTATTTTATGATTACAGAATAATACAATAATACTTTTTTTTCTCTGCTTACCTATTATGAATTCTCATATGATGGTAACTTCCACTTCTTCTTTGATAGTGACAATTTTCCGAACATGGGACCTGTGTCTATTGTGGCTACTAAGGGCTGTTGTCTGTGGATGATATTGTTCATCCAGTAGAGTGTCCCTTCATGCACACTGGTTCCCTCCTCCCATCCATTCAGCTGATGTTCCTTCTCCCATGTTTGGACATAATTAGGATTGTGATGATTTTGACAGACTATCTTTCCCAACACAGTTTGCTCTAGTCACAGCTTTGTCTGTGAAGGAAAAACTTCACTCTTTTCATCGTTTTTTTTTTTTGGGGGGGGGGGGGGCAGGATTTTGCAGGTATGTTCTTTTCTTTCTCTTTCCCTTTTGCCTTTTGATACCTTATATGCTTTTCTACATGACAAATATCCCTTGGTGGTACAGCTGTAAGTATTTGGATTTATAATGCTAAAATCATGGGATCAGTACCCCTCGGTGGACACAATGGATAGCCTGGTGTGGCTTTGTTATAAGAAACATGCTATGTGGCA